TTTTTTTTTTTTTTTTTTTTGGTTGGTACCCAGCCACGTATTTCTTTACCTTGGACGTACAAAGTAATTTTGGCATAATATTCTAAATAAAATTTTAACAAGGTTATTCTTTAGGTTCCTAGCTTTTGCTTATTTGAAAATAATGTTTTGAAAAGCTGTCTGATTAAGAAGAGTGTACTTGAGTAGATTTTAACCTTTTCTTCATGATCCTTGACCATTTCCTGAATTACGGGTGCACGGTGGAGCGGCCGATAAAGCAGAAGGGACCGTGAGCAGCGAGCATCGCAGCCTGGGGGAGATCTGTGGCTGCTCCTACTAGTAATAGCATCGTCGTAATCTTCTTGCACTGTAGAAAAGTAATTTGGACGTTCAGGTCACTTTGTGCTGACTCTAGGAAATACCCTAAAACTTGAAAACTTGCTGTCAGAATTTCGGGCTCGCGCGTCCTTTGAGACATCAGCAGCGTTTCAGTTACTGGGCAGCAGCACGGCCAGGGTCTTCATGGGGCTGGCGGCCCTTCCCCAGCATCCGGGTCCTCAGCGGGCGACGTGCTCATTGGACGTCTGACGCTCAGCGCTCCTTCCCCGCCTTCCTGGGTCTGCGGGAAGGCAAGTGGTCAGCGCCGTGAGCCTGTTTGGTGTTCGCTGCAATCATCAATGTTGCTGTTTAGCCAGAAACTTAATACTCATTTTCGTTGTGTCACATACACTTATGTGCTTACAGGGACACATAACCATGGCACAGTGGCAATAGGAAATGGGGCACCACTTGTTCATAACTAAGCAGTTGACTGAGAGGCAGGCAAGATGGTGCAAAGGTAATTTCCTTGAACGAATGCAGTTTGTTTGCATATTTCATCATCTCGAAATTCACAATTTTAATTTTTACTCTTTCAGTTGTATCAGCAGAATTAGGTAATTCAGGAAAGGCTGGACGGTGTCACCCTAAATCCCATTTCCTTACCTGTCCCAGCACAAGCTTAGTGAGCATTCGTTGGTAGACTCATGAAACTGATAAAAATTGTGTAGGATTGGTGTATGGACAACTGACCTTTGTGTTAATGAGTTTAAGGAGAAAAGGTGACTTTTGGCCGTTGTTGAAATCTGATCCAGAGCAGAGAGTAGCTGAAGGCTGAGCAGACGGAGGTGGCCAGTGGCGGGGCCACATCTGCACTGTGCCAGGCGGGGCCTCCTGACGCCAGAGACGGAGCAGCTGTCTGCGTGGTCAGGAGCCAGCGCGGTGGCTCTGCGGCCTCCCGTGAGGATGCCCTGTGTCCGGAACCCGGCCCCGCGGTCCTTTGGGAGCCTCTGCTACCTGCTTGGTGCTGTCGCGCCGGCCCGACACTCCCAGAGCCTGGGGCGTGGCCACTCCGCAGACGGGGTGCGCGGCCCCGCTTCGCTGCCACCCGAGAAGCTGCTGCTGAAGGCGCGGGGACTGTGGCTGTGGGCGCCACACCCCCACAGTGACTCCCAAGGCCTGGGCCTTGCGGGGTCGGCAGGTGTTGACAGCAGGGTGCTCCGACAGCCACTGGGAAATGCCATCGCCTGCGCCAGTGGAAGAGGGCCAGCGACATCCCCACCTCCCTGCTCACTGCCGTCTCATTCCACTAGCGGCTTTACACCGTGGCCCGCAGAAGCAGTTAATCATCTTGTTTTCAAAAATGTAAAAGCAAGTTTTAAGCAATAACTCGATTGTTTCTGTTTTTATAGGTTTATAAAGACATGTTATGGACTGCTATTTTCAGTATTATTTGCAAGAAAATGATCAGTGGAATGAAAAAATTGAAGTATAACAGAAGATATATATTTTTTTCAAAACGGAAGCCTTCATACAGATCGCGGGGTCCACGGACTGCCAAGCGGGAAGACGCCTTAATCTCACATCAGCCAACAGCGGCTTACAGCCACAGAAGTGACTGACTGGCCCTTTGCAAATAACACGTGCCTGTGATGAGATGCCCACAGCAGCTGCCTATCGCGTTCACATGGCATGTCTATTTTTTTAATACCCAAGTTACGGTATCAGACTTCTTTCTTACGGTCCATATAAATTTTCACTCCTGAAACGTAAGTTAAAAACTTGTCTTAAGTGAAGTACATCTAGGGCGGTTTGGTGGCTGAAAGTGAATAATAAATCAAAACGACTGTTGCTTATACTGTGTAAGGAAAAGAAAGGAACTGCTTTTTTTTACAACTGGGTGTTTGCTAATTCATAATTACTGTTTTAAACTTTTCAATATTTTTAATACAGATTTTTTTATTGTTGGCTATACAGTAACGCTCAGCAGGATTAGGATACCTAAATACGATGATTTAAGACCTGGAGCACATTTGTGTAATTCATCGAAGGCTTAGTGAAGCATTGTGCCCAAGGCTTAAAGAAAATTTAGCAGTTTAAGAAATATTTTCATTTCTCCCTGCTTTTAGGTTACTTTTGTTGTTGAATTTTCATGACCGTAGGTCAGGGAAACACAGATGCATGTGCTGTAGAGATACTGGACTCAGTAGGAACAGGTAGAAGTGGCTAGAAGAAAAATAAAGAGAACAGGCAGGCTCCCAAGGTGTGTAGAGGCGATGTGCTGTTGAATCAAATTTCAGTTTAGGAGATGATGAAAAATTACTCGAAACTTCACAGTGAGGCTATAAACAGCTCAATCAATGACTTCAAAGGCAACTTAAACTAAAGTGAAACTGTCGAGCATAATGCTGCTCTCAGGAAAGACAGTCTAATCTGAGTCGTCATTTAAAACTTCCAGTCTCTGACAGGCAGTTTCCGCTCTTAGATGCAAAATACTAAAGCTGACATTCTAACAGCAGCCTCTTTCTGCCGAGTTAGATACATATCCTCTTTTCCTTTTGAAATCCAGTCTAAGTGGCAAGAATTGTTGCATTAATTCTAAAGAGAAATATAGTGTCTTATAAAGGAGTAACAATGTAGAAATGTCAATCCTTGTTTATAGTGTTCAAATACACACACAAAACAATGTGATTTGCTGCCAGTAGTGGATAGAGATAAGTTTTAACAAGCATCTGTGAAGTACCAACGGTTATAGTTTTCCTCTCTGTAGGATGGGACCGATGGGGGGGCGGGAGGGGTGGTTAGGGATGATGGGGCTGGATGACCTCTAACATTATTCGATTTCTGATTTTGCAAAAATAACCTTAGTTTTCATTCATCCAACAAATATTTTTAGAGTGCTTTCTGCATGCCAAACAATATATAAGGGATAACTCTATACTCAAATGTCACATAAACTTTCTGCTCAACTATTCCAGTTTTTCCGTTTATAGGATTTATCTAATTCCATTGGTTAATACTAATATTAGATTTTAAGAGGAAGTAACTTTCCCCCGTGAACCAAAGGAATGTGTTAGCTTTGAAAATGTAGTTTGGAATACTATCATATGGATTCTTCCACCTTTATTTTAACTGTAGTCTTAATAATCTTGATTCTGGAAAACCCTTAAGTATGAGAATTCAGGGATACCAATTACCAACCAAAATGATCACTTCAGTTTGGCAGCTTATATATTACAAGGAAATAGTAAATGTTTAAATTTACTACTTTCAGAAGTGTTCTCCTGGGACCGTTATGAGTATTTCTACATTTAGATCAAAGGATTTGCATGCACCTAACAACCAATGAGACCTGATTGTCCCCTTTAACGTATCCGGGCACTTTTGTGGTGTTGTAATCTTTCTCAGTTCTTTTAATTCCTCTTAATTAACGTCAGCTTTAATAGCATAGTAAACACCTTTTCAGAAATTTTCGGTTAACACCTTTTAAAGCCAACATTTTGCCACATTCTGAATACCGTTTGGCTGAGTTTACTCATAGGCCAGCAGGGGCCTCCAGGTGGCTTGGGGACCGGGGAAAGGCTGCCTGTTTGCTATTGCACCTGGTATTGATTAGTGCTGTCACTCTGTGGGGAGAAAGGTCAAAATGAAGCCCTGGGAGAATTTATTAGAACCATCTATGGCCCTTCAAATGTGTGAACAGGTGTGATATTTAAGGAAAATCAAATCCAACTTCAGGTCTTGCCACTGCCATTAAAAAACAAAGTGACCGGAGACTCGGTTTTACCTGGGCACAAACTTACTTGAATATTCAGTAGCCGAGGCATCCGACCAGTGTCCCCTTGCCAGGGGCAGCTGTGGTAGAGTCGTCCTTAAACAGGGACACGTTTACAGAGTTTAGATTCGTCTTTACACACAGATGATTTTTTAAGTCTTTTTACATATTTAATGGTTATGATTCAATGTGTCATAATTTAACTGCAAGGTTAGTTTAAATCAAATATGCAATGTTTACTTGAATTTTATTTCTCTTAGAAAGCAGATTTTGACTTTGTTTACAGGGTTGTTTAAATTCAGGATTATCTGACGAGGTTTCCATTCAGTAATGTTTAAAGTACTTGTATATTAAGGGCTTGGTGTTAGGATCTGCATATTCGGGGCACTGACCACACACGCAGTGAATTACCAGATGTCTAGCTTTTGATCTAGGACTAGCACTGCTATCAATGAAAAGTATTTTTAATCTGTTATTAAGAAATTAATCATATTTTTGCATTTCAGCCAACATAAAGACCATAATAATCTCTAATAATCTCTAAGCTATAGCTAATATGTAAACCTGAAATCCGTGTTTCATATAATCTGAACTGTATTTTCCAATTTAAATTAAAAATGCAATATAGATTCAGAAAGTTCCATATTTTTCTAACGAGTTCACTTTATATTTTGTTGGGTTGTATGAAGAATCAAGGATTTGTATTTGTATTAAAAGTTTGAGAAAGCTGGTAGTCGAGTTCATTATATTTGTACATGACTGCAGATGGGTCTATGCCCGTTTAAAAGAAAAGATGGATGCTATTTTAAAGTGATCTTCAATGTTTTTATATAAACAGATTTGAAACAGTTTACTGGAGTTGTCTTTGCTATCCAGTCCCGTAGGTCTTCTGTTTGCTTCTCAGGAGTGTCCCCCTGGACCATGACTGAATGCTCACCCTTTGCTTTGTCCACTGGATGGTCTAATCCACCTTAACATAAAGGCTGAATGAACATTCTAAACTTTTTTTAAAGATCATAAGTTACTGTATTAATAAACAAAAGTAAAATACTGTATTTGAACAGTTTTTTGTTGTTGTACAAAGTGCTATTTACCAAGTGAGAGAATGACTATTATTTTGTCAAAAATCTGGTAAAATAGGGACATGGTTCCATAGTGTAGCGGTGAGCACGTCTGCTTTACACGCAGGAGGTCCTGGGTTTGCGCCCCAGTGAAGCCACGGTCCATGGTCTACGGCCACGCCGCCCTGAACAAGCCCGATGTCTGATCTCAGAAGGTAAGCAGGGTCTGGCCTGGTCAGTACTTGGATGGGAGACCACCTAGGAAGACCGGGTGCTGTAGGCATAAAAAAAAAAAAATCTGGTAAAGTAGTGTTTAGAGAAAGGTCTGGCTAACAGTTTGGGGTGACCATATCTAAGGTATCATTTAAGTTCAGTCAGTAACAGTATAGTCTCCCTAGGCTGGACTAGGTGCTTTCTTCAGAAAGGTTTTAGCTTAGTTTTTACTGACATAATTTTCAATTCAGAAGTCACTTTTGGATGGTAGATGTTTGAAACACTGAAAGTTGAATTGCAGCTCTCGAGATGCTGAGTGACTTCATCTTTTATGGCGTTTGTGTTCCAGTTCCCTTGCCAAGTGCCGGCTTTGACGGGCGGTGCTGCTGAGTGAAGGGAGAGCCTGAGGTGGGGCTGTGGGCCCCAGGAACCAGCAGAGGCCAGTAGGGTCGAAGCAATCCCGTCCCCACCCCAATTCAGAGCACTGTTTGGGGCAGGGAGGAGGATTAACTAGGAAATGGCCAGAAGGCCACTGTGATGCGTCGCATGGCCTTAGTTGTCTCATTTCTCACGAGCTAGCTCTTCAGGACTACTCTCAAGCGCTGAGAGATGCTGGCGCCTGTGGGACAGGTTCCACGGGTGTTAACAATGCTGTGAGGTGGTGTCACTGTCCCTAACCTTCGGCGCCTCTCATCTGGTGTGTGCTGGCGAGCCGAGTGTTCTGATTCATGGCATCCTGTTCTTTACCCTAGAATGTCCCCTCCCTGCCCATTTTCTCCCCCGCCCCCCAGGTAATTCTCTTCATCCAGGATTTCCAACTCTTGTAGCACCTCCCGGGCCTGTCACTGTCCCCAAGGCCTTCAAAACAGCTGAGCACCTCCGTGCTGCCTGGAGCACTGTTTCCAGGATGGATTTCATTTTGCCCGTATTGGTTACACTTACTTGCAGGTCAGCTCACTAGGTTATAAATTCTTGAGACTTTTTCTTTGTACTAGCTGCCCACAAACGAGTTCAGAAAAGAACTGCAGTAATGAATTTCATGTTCCTCAGATTTGGTATCTGTTGTGTTGCCTAAGTTCTCAAAAGTGGGCACCACAGCCTTTAAAATTATCCCAAAGTTGAAAAACATCAGTCAGCTATCACACTTTTTAGTGGAAATATACATTTATGGGGCAGTATCTCTGACAATACCGTTCTCAAATGCCCATATTCTTTGACCTATCAGGTTATATTTTTAGGAGTTTTGTAGGTTGGCTTTTGCGTTATGAGCAATAACTATCAGGATATTCACTGCAGTACTGTTTGAAGGACTGGAAACAACATCCCACCCACGTTTACAGCTGTGTGTGCGGGAGACACTGAACTACGAAGGGGGTCGCCTGCAGAGAGGAAGACGGGTGAGCGATGGGTCACAGTCCACCGAGTGCCCTCTCATGCGATTTGTTTTCATCCTACGTGCACATGTTGTAAAAACGAAAAACGGTGCCTCAGACGTTCCTACGGATCGGTGGCAGAAGAGGTTGGTTGACATGATGCTGCACCAATGTGCTAGCCACTTGGGGAAAAGTCGCTTCGCATCTCACATTAAATTCCAGAAGGCTCTTGCACTGAAACATTAGAAAATGAAAACAAATGTACTGCAAGAAAAGATGAGTAAAGGGTTTTATAATGGCATAGGACAGGCATTTATTTCTAGGTAGGCATGCTGCTGCTGCTAAAACATTTTGAGTACATGAAAATTTAGGAGAAAACTAGCATCAATGGGAAAAAATGGAGACAGAACAAGAAAGCCACAGGAAATGAGAATGATGAATCACACAGCAAGGAAAATGATGCTCAGCTTTGTTGAAGAAACGTAAGTAGAATCAGCAATGAGATTATCTTTGTCCGACAGGCCCTGGCCAGTGCTAGTGAGGGTGTGGGCAAAGCGGTGTCTTTGGTGGGAGTGTAAAGGGCTCGGCTGTAACAAGAATTTGGCAGTGTGTGTTTCTCCGTGCTTAACCGTAGGCACACCCCCCACCCCCACCCCGACCTTTAGAAGTGGGAGAGATGCAGGTGAGGTGGGGGCAGAGCAAGTTTGTCTGGTCTTTGGCCCAGTTCCTGAAGCCCTCGCAGCTTCCTAGATGGTCAGAGCGCTAGAAGTATCTTCTGTTCTAACGAGCTGACCAGGTGGGCTCCAGAGTGACTCTTGGGTGCCGGCCAGTTTTTCTAGAAAAAGGCGAGGACCTTGGGATTTTCAGTGGCACCCCGTCCTCGGGGCGGGCTGGGGGTGGAGTTACTCATGGACGAAACCTTGGAGAAAGCCCGCCAGCTCCAGTAACTCTCATCGTGGGGTGGGTCCAGAGCCCTCTGATTGGCAAACACGTGCACATCAGGAGGGTGTGCCTGACCCCACGAGACATCTCCAGGCTCGGGGCCCTCCACCTGCCCCTGCACCTCCATCTGGCTGTTCCAGACAACTGATCAAAGCTGAGGAGTGGGTTGCGGGAACCTCTGATTTGCAGTCAAACAGAAGTTGTGGGTAACCTGGGACCTAGATGCAACTCACATCCGAAGTAAGAGGGGGAGCCGTCTCATGGGACTGAGCCCTTTAAACCTGCGGAGCTGTCTCTGTGTCCCCACGGACGGTGTCAGAGTGAACTGAATTGTAGGCCAGCCAGGTGGTGTCACGGAGAATTGCTTGGTGGGGGTAAAACCACACATTTGGTGACCAGAAGTGTTTTGAGCTGAGACACAGGAGAAACAGAAAAATTGGGTTATTCCCTACATGGAAAAAAAATCTGAGCGTTTCCTACACATAAGGCTAGTTGTTTAAAAGGCTTTTTAAAAAATCAGCACATAAGGAAAACCAATGTCCACCAACAGGAAACTGGCTATGTTACTGCATTCAGACTACAATGGAGGCATTTAAAGGTTCTGCGTAGCTACGTTTATAAAAAATGAAGTAACTGCCGGGGAAAGATCTTGAAAACACTGTTTTCAAAAATCGAATTGCAGAAAGCCACACACATGGTGTGATCCACTCCGTGGTTTAAAAGGACACGACGTTTAGCTGTCCACCTCTGTGTCCAGAGTCCAAAGGGAGGACAGATGCAGCGAGGGGACCTTTCTTCTAGGCATTCTGAAGTTTTTCTATTCAACATACAGAAGCATAAACAACGAAGATTTTTGGATTATGTAGCAATTCAAGTGCAAGTCGATGTCATCACTGCGGGTGTAATTTTGGGGGTTCCTTAAGTGTTTCCTCACTTGTAAAATCGTCTCGTAACACGTGACTTTTTTTATGTTCAGAAAAAGGTTTGAAAAACAAACATCTCCAACTGACGAATAGTATAGTATGTTAATTATAACTCAAGATGTTTCTTAAAACGAACTTTTACGTATCTGTTCTAATACACTTCGCTTTATTTAAATGTCCACTTTGAATACCAAATCTCAGAGGAAAAAGAAAAAACTTTTTTGTAATACTATTTTTAGAAATGTGTAACTGAAAGGCTCACGTTTTCATTGACGGACGGACGGCACGCCGCCAACTCACCCCAAGGGCCCCAGACACAGACCCCAAAACATGCTTTGCAGCTTTATTGCAGCTTTCACCGCAAACACATTTCCCACCACCTGGGACCCGGAGTCCGCCTCGCAGAGTACAGACACACGACCCAGCGGCGACGAGGCGACGAGTCATATCCCGAGCCCACGGGGCGACGAGTCACACGCCGCGCGCACGTTCGCGGGCCGCTCCGGGAGCCGGGTCCAAAGGCCCGCGTGTTCTGGTTCCGGACCAGGTGGCGACGGGACGGCGGCTCCGCATCAGGACCACTTCTTGGTGACGTTGAGGTGGCTGAGCTGGTCGACGAGCCGCCGGTGCGGGGGGAAGTTGGCCTCGCAGGCCGCCTTGATGGCCTGGAATGCGGCCGCCCGGCGCGCCGCGGCGTGGCCGTGCTCCTGCTCGGCGCTGAGGTGCGGCGCGCTCAGCCAGTAGTGGTTCTCGGCTTCGGTCTCCAGGCGGCGGAGCGTGTTCTGCTTCGCCCAGGCGGACACGGCGCGCGGCCGCCGGTGCTTCCCGATCCACTGCCGGCCTGGGATGCGGTTGCGGCGCAGCAGGGCGGTCAGGAACATGGTGCCTGCGGAGGCGGAGAGACAGGTGGCGGCGTGGCCGGCGCCCACGAGACCGCGCGCCGCCGGCCCCGAGGGAAATGGGGCGCCCGCCCCCGGCCCCCCAGACGTCGGCGACCGTCGGCACACTCACCGATGGCACGCGCACGGAGCCCCGCGTCCCTCACTGCGGGCGGATGCGACGCCGGAAGTGCGCCCGCGATGCCGGAAGTGCGCCCGCGACGCCGGGCCCCAGCAATCCCCGCGCGAGGATGCGGCTCTCGCGAGAAAGGACTCGCGCGACGCCGCTTAGCGGATGACGCTTGCGGCGCCGAGAGGTTCAAACGAGTGGCTGGCGCCACCCGCGCGGCGCGGTGTTCTCGCCATGGAGCTGATCCGGAGCTTCTGCGGGAGGCTGCGGGCTCTGGCCGTCACCCTGGACAGCGAGACGGCGCGGCTGCAGCGGGCGCTGGAAGGGGAGGACAGCGGTGAGCGGGGCCGGGGCCGCGCGCGCGGAGAGGGCCGTCTGTCCGCGTCGGGAGGGCCCGAAATACGCGGCGCCCGGGACGGCTAGAGCCCAGGACGCGTCCCCGGTCACACACGGTGTGCTTTCGAGTCGCGCAGGACGTGTGCTCATCGACAAACATGCTATAGGAACAAAGTTAAACGGTTTCCCGTAAATGCAGCCGTTTAGCTCTGCTGTTTACATGTGTAGTGAGTGACTTTCGTCTCGCCCTCGTCTCCACAGGTGCAGTAAATGTCTCTTTTCCCCAACACACCGTGTTGCTCGCGCAAACGCCGGTACTCAGCATCGCCTTGACTTATTTATTTATTATGTATTTGTATGTAAAGCAAAATTATCCACCACTAACCTTTGTATTACAGGTTTTTTGGAGTTATTACAAGAGTCGTTTGAGGTTTAATAAATGTCATAATTGTAACGTCCTTAACATATTGCACCCTGTAGACACAGAGTTCTTTTCCTTAAGTTATATTATGAGTGATTTCCCAGCCATGTAAAAATATTCATTCTTGTGACTGGAAAAACAACGTGCACAATGAAATTTCGAGACACAGAAAAATAGAAAAAAATAAGTAGGTCCTCTAACTCCACCATCAGAAGTCACCACTAATAGTATTTTAGTAGCTTTTTTACCTTATTTTTAGAGTTGCTTTGGTTTTGTCTGATTTTGTTTACAGTTGAGATAATGCTGTAAGACACAAAATTCTATTAACATTTTTGAATTCTTGAGATATGGCCAAATTGCTTTCCACCAAGCTTGCGCAAATTTACCCTTAATCAGTTGATGACCATGTGTTGTTTCTACTTTTTCCCTGTTGTGAAAAGTGCTGCTGTAAACTTCCATGTGTTAGTGTTTATGTGCACTTGACTAACATTTTCAGTTCTCCCGGGCGCACGCATAGACGGGTGCACGCTTAGCTGGTGCATGCGTAGACAAGTGTACGCTTACACTTACACGTGGGTTTGGTGGCGCCAGGGCAGTCCCATGTTTACCTTTTTGAGGAGCTGACACATTGTTTTCCCCAGTGGATGCACCATGGTGTAGCTCCATCAGCAGTGAATAGTGGTTACAGTTTCTCCATCAACATTTGTTACTGTCTGTCTTTTTGGTAATAGCCATGCTAGTGTGTATGAAGAAGAAAATCGTTGCGTTGTGGTGTGGCTTTGCGATTCCCTAATGAAAAGTGGTTGACTTTTAACAGGTGGAAGGAGACCTTCAAAGGAGACATATTTTATATTTTAGAAAAGAGAATTATGGCCCTTTAAAAACCTGCTTTTACACTATATACGTGACCAAATGATTAAGAAGAAAGGTGACAGTACAGTGGGTAAAGGGTGTCTTTTCAGTTAATGGTGCCAGGTCAGTTGTACACTCGTAGAAAAAAGAATGCATCTTGAACCTTACCTTATACCATTTACAAAAATCAATTCCAGATGGATTTTAGCTCTGAATGCGAAAGACAAAACAATAAAGCTTTTAGAAGAAAACAAAAGCGTTGTCACTGGCAAGTATTTTTAGAACAGGAATCAAAACGTGCTCACCATAAAGGAAAAATTTGCTCAGTAGGGCCACGTTCCCTCCTCCTCCCCTCCGTCCTCCCCTCCCTCCCTCCCTGACCTGAGTGCTGATGTTGCAGGTGTTTACTTTGAAAGTTCACCAAGCTATATACATATGATTTCTGTACTTTTCTATATGTTATAGTTTAATAAGACCTTTAAAGAAGGGCCTTAGCACTTTGTGATTGACAGGTTATCAATTACAAATAAATACAAAAGTTTATTTTAAGAAAATATATTTAATTATATTTTCTATTTTTCCTCCTTTTTCTCTTACACTTTTTCCTTTCACTATTTATATCGAAGACTTTGAAGTTTATCCAATGAGAATTTTACATGACCTTCATTCAGAAGTTCGGACTCTAAAGGTACCACTCTTACAATACTAATTTATCTTTTATACGTGGTAATTTAAAATCTAAATAGACTTAGTCAAAAGTTAGAGAAATTCTAATGTACTTTTTTCCTTTGAAAAAGGATGATGTCAGCACTCTTCTTGACAAAGCAAGTTTGGAAAGTAAAGAAAGCATTTGTTTCATAAAGGCAGCGAAAGTACTGATGAAAAAGAATTCAGTGGACATCATGAAAGTAAGAGAAGTTTTCCAGAAGTATGGATATAATCCACGGGCCAAGAACGGTTCAGGTGTGCATCGCTTGCATTTTCCAGCATCCGTTTCCGTAGTAAAGAGGGCAGCACCGTCGGGAAGAGCGCTGTGGGCTTGGCCGCGGCCCCGTTCTCGCTCTGCCTCCGGTGCCCGCTGCTCCATCGTGTGACACAGCGCCGTGTGCTGGACGCGGTGCTGGTCGGTGGTGCGGTGTGAGGACTGTCCTTGCTGTCCTTTCCAAATGCTAGACGAGGACTGACACGTGTATGTCGGCTGTCGACAAGTAAAAAATTACTTTTAGAAAAGAACTAGCAGTGCTAGGTGAAAGACGAGGACAAGAGAGATCTATGTGACTTGAGGGCGCCCGGTTCCCAGTCCCCTAAGAAATGGAGACTTACCGTCAGGCATCGATCCATTTTTGTTCTCAATGTCCTCTTCTGTAGATTGAGAGATTTGGGCTAGATAAATTGATAAAGCCCTCTTCGTGTTTAGATTCTAACGAAGGGTGGGATAACACGGTGGCTTCAAATTCAGGGCCGAACCGCCTCTTCAGACCTCTGATCCACCCCTTGCTAGCTGTGTTGTCTTTGACCAGCGGCTTCACCTCGCACCTTTTTCTGGTTTGTGAAGTGGAGGTGTTTAATAGTCTCTACCTCTCAGGCTGTATTAGGTTAAATGAGGCGAAGCTGCCTGGAACAGTGCCTGGCATGCTACTCACCAGGCGCTGCCTGTTGCTAGGACTCGGCTCGCTCCTCTGGTCGGCTTGAGTCAGCGTCTTCCGTGCCTTCGCTTCCATTATGAGAATGGTCTTTGTACATGAGTAAAACTCTAAATTCAACAAATACATACTGAGGACATGCATAGAAGGTATATTAACCCGTGTGGCAAGAGCCACACGGTGTGATGGAAGGAATTCAGTTGACTTTGATGTGGAGCCGTGGCTTCAAACGCTGGCCCCACCCGTCACACGCCACTACATGTGTGACCATGGGCAGTGTCTCTAAATTGCTTTCCCTCATTTGTGAAATGGGGACGATAATACCTCCCCATGGGGCAGTGATCACGGTGACAATTTTATTTTATTAATCTCATCCATGACAGCCTTGTGATAAGTAACATTTCTCAGAATTAACGGAAAGCACTGTCGAAAGAACTCAGTCTTTCCGAGAGCCAGAAGCCATGAAATCAACATTGATCCCTTTCTTTCGTGTGGGGCACCGTCCAGGTTTGACGTGTCCCGGCTCGTGCACAGACACAGTTCCCTATCCTCGTTCACTTCCAGTTGCCAATCAAAAAGCACATGGCGCCTTCAGAGGAGAAGCACACCTCCGCTTCCTCAGGTCTGCTGGACCTCTTAGCTGCTCAGATGAATGCAGCCTAAATCTGTCCCTTTCCTCTTCCTTCGGACAGGGATCCAGTGTGCCAGTATCTGAGAGACCCCATTTTAGCTACAGACCTCCCTTTAAAGATAAGCAAACAGAAAGGGCCTTGGCCTTGTAGGTGCTGTCCAGATTCATTAACCAGCAGTGCACCAGGGGTTGAAGAGGACTGTGGGAAGGAGTAAGGTGGTCAGTAAGTGACTTCATCTGAGACGCAGTGTGGCGGCTAGTGTTGGGGTCTGGAGCCAGATGTAACCTGTTCACAGTCGAGAAGTCGCATGTCTTTAATGCTCGCCTGCTGTTTCTCAGTAGGCCTGTGATGTGTTCTAGATTGATGGAGGATAAACAGTTATCTCTAAGTCTTTCCTTGTTAGGCATCTGTAAGTTAAAAATGTAAGTATTTTCATGCTTTGTGATGACTCTAGATTGTAGTTAATTACACACTAATGAATGGCACCGAATGACAGTGGTTCCCTAACACAGCAGGAGCCACTAAGTCACATCGAGTGGGGAAGTAAGAAAGTTGGACTTACATTTGTGCGCATGGACTTTTCATCTTTTGACAGTTCCGTTTATTTCCTTTCTCTAACGTCATCAAAATGGGACGTGGGTGGACAAGAGGTACTGCAGGAAATTCCCAAAGGTACAGTCGAAGCAAAACTCGGGAGACTAAGGAGAGGATCAGGACGGGGCCCGCCCGGGGCATTGCAGATGGAGCTGTGTCCTGTGGGTTTAGCGCGTGAGGGTTCCTGGCGCGTGTTTGCGTGGACCGTGACTGCCTTGGTCTCCCCAGGGGGCGAGCAGGAGGCCGACACTGCACCAGAGTCTGCTGGGGATGCGACCCGCCCGGGGCCCGACGGGGAGGACGATGCGCCGCCCCCCGCCGCCCCACGCAGCCGTGGATCCGGCACGTCTGTGAGCAGCACACCCCCGAGCAGCCCACAGCTGGCCGACTTCGGGCTGGAGCGCTACCTGGTCGCCGCGCAGGCCGGACGCAGCCACACTGAGGGGCGGGAAGGGCTAACTCCACCGTCCCAGCCGTCACCAGCCAAAGTGCGGAAAACGACGTGTGCCCTGAGCGCCGACGATTTCGAGTGTTTGACCCCGAAACTGCAGCACCTCAGTATCTCCCAACACAGCGCGAGTTTAAATGGGGATCTCACCGTGGGCCTCGGAAGTATGGAGGATGAGAGGTACGCGGCTTCCTTCTAAGGCGCGGTCTCCCTGGCTCTGAAGCTTTTGTGTTTGTCGATTCTTTCCTAGAAGAAATGTGGTATTCCAGACCGTGCCTTTCCTTCGAACGGGTTTCAGGGCTCTCTCATTTCCCACTTTCTCTAATCACCAGTTCCATCAGAAAGCTCGGCAATCGGTTTCCTTGGGCTATAGACGCTGTAGAAGGAGTGATAAGGGTCTAGAAATACTATGGCGTTTGTTGGGATAGAGAAGCGAGGGTAAGCGAAGGGGTTGAAGCTGTTCAGAATGTGCAGGTTTGGCATGGAGACCCGGGAGGAGATGCGGGTCGGGGACAAGCCGCCGGTTTCTGTCCGGTCGCCCAGACGGCTCTAGGGGAGGACCTGAGAGGCCGCTGGGGGTGGGGAGCAGGTGACGCTTCCACACCTGGCTTCGAGGTGCTTAACGTCCATGGGAAGCCCAGAGATGACTTCTGTGCCAGACCGAAGAGGTTAGGAGTGATTAGTGTGAAATTAGTAATCAAAGAGTTATATCGAACGTTAAAGCACCATGTGTCAAAGTAGCCAAGCAGTATCCAGACATAAATCCTTAAGACCCGTAATTAAAAAAGGAAAATGAACATTCAACTCAAAGAGTCCGAAAAGGCCACACAATTCTGAGGAAAAGAGATGGGAGTGAACACAAAGACGAAGTGAAACGTCATTACAGAAGAGTTTCTGAAGGTTAGGACTGGTATATCTGAGGACTGGCGCTTACTTAAACAAATGCAGATAACAAAACCACAAACTAAGGCCTATAATTTTTTTATTTTTTAAGCTCGTAGAAATAATACAGAATATAATATTGGGAAATTTGGAAAGTTCAGATAAATGAAAAGAAGCCATTTAACTTGTGCTTCTTTATATTTTACAAATAACTAGTTAGTAAATGTAGTGGGGAAAAAACATTTAAATTTGCAACAAAAAAGTAAAATAGCCATACATTTGTAGGCGAAAGGCCTATATGATTAAAACCATAAAACATTTCTGAGTTATATAAAGAGAAAATTAGGATGAAGAAAGATATTCCTGAATAGAATGACTGAATATTAGCAAGATGTGCAATCATATTGAATTAATTTGTGGGTGTCATGCAGTTACAACAGTCTCCATAGGATTTTTTTTAAGGTGGAGAAAGACGAGTATTTGACAAAGCGATTCAAAAATTTGTTTGGAAGAATAAAAAATAGCCAAGAAAATAATGAAAAATAACAGTAATAAAGGGACTTAACCTAGCAGACATTAAAATATATAAAGCAAAGTAAAACAGTACGAAACTCGCAGAATGGGCCTGGAACTGGAACTGAATAACCAAGAGACACCCTAATTTATAGGAGTTGATTTATGTAATAAGCTGAACTTAGGGCTTTCCTTTTACTCAGATTCTTAACCCACTTCTAAGTCAAAACTATCAACAGAAAATGGCTTGTAACCTTTTATGAGTCAAGATTACACATTTGAAAAAATTGTTCCATGGGCCTTCTGTTCCCTAAAACAGGACAAATGAGTGCATCCAGACTTGATGATTTATAGGAAGATTAACTTTTTTTAACCTTATAATTTCCCTGTTACTCATGCCAGTGAGGAAGCCATAGAAACAGAACCAGTGTCCGGCGGTGATTCCTGTGCCACGCCTGGCCTCGTGAACCAGCGGCTGGGAAGAAATGGTGAGTGTAAACTCAAGTTGCTTCTCTGCCGTGTCTTCCCAGACTGCTTCTGGACAGGTGTCCAAGAGCCCTGCGTCCCAACTGGGGACACCGCGGTCCTGAAGGACCGACCACTCTCTAGGTTCAGCGTGATTTCACCCGAGAGGAGTTTTCTGATCTGCTTTTCATACTCTCCCTGGTTGTATTCTGCATTTGGCAGCGGGTTTGTTTCTGATTTTCTAGGTTAAAGCATGTAACTGCGTATCTAGTCACCAACTTTTTGATGTAGAGCCGGCAGCACCCTTTTTAACTGTAGCTCAGCCTCTCGTGAGAGTTCTACAGTGACTTTCTGACAGAAGCCACACCCAGAATGTGTCAGCTACCACTGCAAATTTTGCATTTTCTAAATAGTAGAAATTTAAATTTTTATGTTGTTTTTTTATATTTGCCCTAGCAAACATGAAAACATTGGTTTTCGTGGATTTCTTTGAATAATTATTTTTTATTGTCTAATTTATACCAGCTTTATTGGCAAATTTTTAAAAGTAACTTGTCTTTATCAGGTCTTTCCAAAGTTTTGGATATGTTTTTAGAAAAATTCTTTTTGTACCGGTTTCACTGACTTGTTATTAATAAGTATAAACAGGTGTGAAAGAATACAACTGACTGACGGTAAGCATAGAGCTCAACCTGTAACAGAAAACTGGGTTGTGTTAGGAGTATCCTGTATTTCTTTCTTAAAAAGAAAGAGCGTTTGGGCCCCCACCTCACACACATTCAGAAGTCAGTTCCCCATGGACAGTAGTGACGAGAACGCCCTTACGACTTCGGCAGACCGCACCGTGGGAGACGCGGAAGGCCTGGCTTTGGCCGCTGGCGACCTCGCTTCGAGGAGCCTCGTTCAGTTTCTGCTGTGTCTTTGACCCAGTTTTTAATGCCACACAAGTACCATTATGACAATGTTTATAGTCTGTACTGACTAAAACTTAGCGATTTGCCACGTTTGTGTTCGCCGTCGCTGCCTGTGTCGCGCTCGTCGCTCTGGGCGGGTTTTCTCGTTCAAGTGCACCCTTCAGCCCTTCTCCCAGAGGCGGTAGTTCAGCTGTGTGCAGTGGTCTCCACTTTTGCATTTCTGAAAACATTTCTTTCTTTCTTTTTCACTCACTCTTGAATGATGATTTAGCTGGATGTGGACTAGATCGGCGGCTGTTTTTCTTCGGGATTTTAAAGTGCACTGTGATTTGCTGTCTTGCTCCTGGTGAGCAGGGTGTATTGGTCTGGCTGGCTTTTGTTTGTAGACAATCTTTCTTCTCCTCTGGTAGTCTCTAAGGGTTTTGTCTTTACCTGTGACATTCCACACTTCTCTGTAATCCACATGTGTATTTGTTTTCATTTGTTGTGTTGAGAATTTGGTTTTCCAAGCGAAGGGCTCGCCATGCGTTCGGAAAAACACTCGCATTGTGTCTTGGGCAGCACCATCCCCAAGTAGCCCACGTTCCTCCGGAGACTCCGCACTGTCCTTCACAGCCACCCCTCGGCCCCCTGGGTGGTGGCTGGCTCCCCCTGAGCGCTCAGCTTGGGGGTGAAGGCGATGTGCGCCCTGCTGCCCACGCCCGTGGAGCCTCCTTCCTATTTGCTGTTTCTCTCGCCCTAGTCTAGGTTATTTTATTCCATCACTTGAGTTTTTACTATTTTCTGCTTTATAAGTTTCTGTTCCTTTTTTTCTCTTATGTACCATTCTCTTGCCTTATGATTTCTGTGCCTTTGTTGATCATCTTAGATACATGTATCTGGAAGACTCTTTAAGGTGTTGATTCCTTGCTTATCACTCTGTCTCTCTGGGGCTTGTTTCCTCACAGCTGTGATCTCATCTCAAATGAGGCCGTGTGTGCCCCATGGAGCTGTCCCAAGCTTACCCCAGCCAGGGCTCGCCCATGGCAGACAGGTTTCCAGGTTCACCTTGGATGGCTCAGGTGACCTGCCCCAGACATGGCTGAACTCAGCGCCTGCAGCTCTACGCTCGATGGACTTGGTATCCTGAGCTTTCTGCCTTCAGCCTCGCTTGCTGTCCTCCTGTGCCCCGGAGTCATGCCAGTGGGCAGAGGTTTCCAGTCCCTGGTTCTTAGACTGTGCTTCTCTCCCAGGCCCTCAACGCCCCTCACGAGCCTGTGCCGTGACCCTGTCTGTGCCTGTCCTAAGCCCCAGGTGCTCCACTTGTACATGGAAATATCGGGTTAAGCAGAGGCTAGCATCTCACCACAGTTGCTTTTTTAAGTTAAAGTTATTCATGAGCTAAATTCCTGGTCCCCTCCGTCTCCTCCTCCCCAAATGACGCTTAAAGCGTAATCGTGTTTTCAGATTTCACCATCCAATCCATCCTCATTTGTCACTCGCTTTGTTCACTCCCGGCATGTTTTTTACACTGACCTGTGCACGTCCAGTCTGTCCATTTTGGGGGGTCAGCAATATGCCACTGTACGAAGCAGCCACTGTATTTATCCATTTGCTCGTTAAGGGAACGGTTACGGTTTTGTTCTTTACCATCATAGGTTGTGCTGTAATGAAATTGTCCCTGGGTACCTGTGTTCCTCACACCCAGGAGACCTTCCGGGTCACTCATTCTAGAAGATGCTAAATTGCCTGGGAGAGGCTGCTCTGGTTTACTCTCCCCAGCGGTACCCGAGTTCCTGTGTCTCCTCCTGTTCCAGCGCTTGATGACAATTAGACTTGACCATATTTTGCCCGTCTGGTCCTTTTTCTGACATGTTCAGCGTTTCTCTTTGATACCGCTTTGAGGCTGGTCGCTAGTGTCTCCATGTGCGCTTCTGCTCCTGGGTCTGCTTTGTTCTAGGAGTCGCTTTTCCACCCCTGACTAACGTTACACTGCTTTTTAGTCAGTGCAGCTTTCGAGTAGGTCGTGACATCTTGGAAGGCGAGTGACCTCCTTACCCTCCTCTTCCTTTTCATTCTTCAAGAAAATTCTCCGTAAAGCTCTTACACAGTTGCTCATAGGTTTATTTGTGAGTACCTTGCTCTTTCTTGGTGCTGTTGTGAAAAATGTAAGTTTTCAAATTATATTGTGTCTTGGGCAGCACCACCCCCGAGTAGCCCACGTTCCTCCGGAGACTCTTACACCAGAACTGTTCATTGTGGTGTACTGTACTTGTACCCGAGTTTTATTAGTGCTAATGATAATTAGATATGTGAATGTGACAGTTTTGTTATTTCCTGTCCAATCGAGCATACACTGGTTAGAATTCCTTAAGTTATTAAAAATAAAGTGCACAAATTATAGACAAGGATTGTAACCTAAACGTTGAAATCTTACTTCAGCTTCATTTTCAGGTGTTCGCTGTCACGCCGCTGCGTGTCTCCCAGATGTCGCGTGTGCACCATCCCCCTCCGCACCCGCCTTCTGCACCCCGGGCCTGAGGCTCCCTCGCGTAGAGGGCAGTGCAGCTTCGGTAAATCTCCACAAAACCAAAGCGCTCGTCTGGCTTCTGGTGACTCCAACACCCTTTCCAGCCTCGGGCCGTGTGTTTAAAGGATGTAACCCGAGGCAGCCTTCTTCGTGTGTTCGCTCTGTGTTTCTGGAGGGTGACTTCGCAGCTTCCAAGTTTCCCTGACTTTAACCATGTTTCAGAACTTATTCTAGGGCACACTGGGATAAAGATTTCTGACAGGGACCGTGAGGAGGGACAGCATTACTCATGAGAGCAAAACATGGGGAACAACCCAAGTGTCAAAAGGGAAGAAGCGAAATCCATCCAGTATAATCCCAGGGTCTGCTGTTACTGCCATGTGTTTTCTGAAAAATAGATGAGAACTTATCAAAAGAATGTTTTCAAGAAGTACTTAATGGAATGGAAAATGGCATGTATGTGTGCGTATGTGCACGCATGCACGCGCGCGTGCACACACACACACAGCAGTCCCCCTGTTATCCACAGTGTTGCTTTCCGTGGTTTCAGTTACCCGTGGTCAACTGCAGTCTGAAAATATTAAATGGAAAATTCCAGAAGTAAACAAGTCACGAGTTTAAAATTGCACGCCAGCCTGAGTAGCGGGATGAAATCTCGCGCCCTCCCACTCCGTCCTGCTGGGGACACGAATCCTCTTTGTCCAGCATCCTCACGCCATAGACACTACCTGTCTGCTAGTCACATAGTAGCCATCTGGGTTATCGGATCAACTGTCATGGGGTCACAGGGCTTGTGTTCAGGTCACCCCTGTTTTACTTAATAACAGACCCAAAGCCATTCACATCGCTTATGTTACAGTATTGCTACGATTGTTCTGTTTTATTGTTACTCTCTTACTGTGTCTGATTTATAAACTAAATAGCATCACATTTTTAGGGAAAAACAGTGTCTGCATCATTCAGGATGTCAGCCTTCCACTGGGCGCCTTGGAACGTATCTCCCGTGGATAAGGGGGCACTGCTGCGTTTCAAGGAAAAAGAATGGATAGAAACACACTAAAACGTGCTTAGCTGTGGGTGGTTTTTGTCCTTTTTTTCTCCCAGGTTTTTCCCAGTAAACAAACTTACTTTCCTCCAAACCTCATCCCTTTTGCAGTCAGTGCAAACACTGAGGACAGCCAGTGGGTGGGCTGGGCTGGCCGGTGGGACATTCTGCAGCAGTAGAGATGCTGTGTGTTCTGTGCTGTCCCACACGGTAGCCGCCAGTCACAGCTAGCTGTTGAGCATATAAAATGTGGCAAGCGCATCTGCAGAACTGACTTTTAATTTTTTAAATTTTATTAAATTGAAACAACCCCTGGCAGCTTGTGACTCCTCTGTGGGACAGGGTGGCTGTAGGGAAGCAGAATGCTGGGCTTAGCTCACACCCGCTTTCTTCCTCATTGGGGCAGAGTCACACCGTCACGCCCATCCGTGCTGTGTTCCCCATCTGGCCCGTTCAGTGTTGCCTGAGGCCAGGAGGCGCCTCTCTAAATTCGGGGCTCACGCAGTTTTCATGCTGAGCTCTAGCCCAGCCTTTGTTAGTAACGAGGCTGGAGCTTTGTCCTCCGAGTGCTGTTCCTTTGTTTCCTTGGTTTTATTTAGCGCTTGGTCAGGGGAAGGGGTCATTTTTGGCCTTCTCGGAGACCCCAACAGAACCAACAATTTTTATTTACTGTATTATTTTATACCAACGTAATTTGACGATTTATTTTCATTCCTTAGGCATCCACGAATTATCCACCTTCAAAAACAAATAGTTCATCCAGCGACTGGGAAGTGAAAGGCTGCACGTCATCAGCTCTGAGTTCAGACAAGTGCTTTGACAATTTCATGGCTCCCTCTTCTCCCACGATTTCTTCGTACGAGAACCTGCTCCGAACACCTACACCTCCAAAAGTTACTGCAGTTCCAGAAGACATTCTCCAGGTTAGTTTTTCAAAGTTAGATATTCGTACAACATCCGCTACGAAGCCCGTGATTTCTCGCAGGGCTGATGCACTGGTTCGGGTCTTGAGAACGTCTGAATTCCGGGGGCCAGGCCCTCCTGGCACTGCCTGGCCGAGCACAGGTGCTGGCGTCATCAGACTTACGGCCTCGTGGCGCATTTTCTCTTCAGCTCGTGGTCATTTGCCTGTGATGGCCACGCTGAGCACTGTCTCCATGGGCGGTGCCGCTGTCAAAGCCAGGAACGCCGTTTACTCTGCAGTTCCCAGAGTGGGGTGTCGTGAATAACTACCTGTGTTTCTTGGACTTGCGATGTCTTGTACTTCAGTTTGAGAAACAGTGATTGAAACATATTAGAACTCTTTAGCACTGTTTATCGTTAGTCTCCTACTGAGTTCTAACTCCAGATCTGCTAAGTGGCCACCAGCCCGATGTGGCACACGTCCTCGCCTTCGTAGAAGTCGTGGTGTTTGGCCATTGTTGCTTAGGCGGATGGAACTCCCAGTAACCATTCTGGCAACCTTCCTGAGAAGAAGGAAGCTGCTTGGGAAGATACTGGACGCCACGAGAACAGACCCATCCCGAGATCCCACTGGAGCGTGTGCCAGCGCCCTTGGTCTCCCTGCTGTCCTCGGCCTTGACGGAAACGGAGCGAGGCAGGGGCAGCTCCTGTCTAGACATTTTATAGTTCAACTTCTCTTTATTCCTATGTTAAAACAGAAAAAGCTAGTGTTTAATGCATCACCTCTTTATGAAAAAGATCATAGCTGATATTTCAGAGTTGTCTTTTTATAATTCATGTAACCAGTGATCTTTCTCCTGAGCATCTGACCCGCCTCTTTCCTCTGTATTTTCCCTGGCGTCTTTGTAAAGGCCTCGTCTGCCTCGGTCCACTGCTGCGTGCTGACATCAGCCTTCCGTGCGTTTCAGAGGGCGTCAGACGTCGGGCCTGCGCACCCACGTTAAGTGTCTAATATTGCAGTCTTTTCTGCGCTGCTAGAAAATTCCTGCGTCTTCCAGTAACCCATGCCTTCAGACGCCCCTTGGCTTTTTTTTTTAATGTTTCCTAACACTTTCCAAATTGATGTTGTTCACGCAACTTAATAAAAAAGAATTTGCTTGGTTTTAGATTCTATCAAAATACAACCGAAACCTAGTCACTCCAGTGACAGTTCAGGCCGTGCCACCCAGAGCAGCATTCCTTGCTAGAGGCGAAGGACCGGGCCTCGGAGAAGTGGGGTGAGTGTGTCATTTGAGGAGAGCAGTTTCAAAATTTAACATTTGAATGGTAGTAAAAGTCTGTAACTGACACTTCACTTGCCAGTTTGGGTTAGTAGCTTCCTCCTCCCAATGGGGATCGATGGGGATCGTTGACCCCCTGCCGCCCTGACATGCAAGTCTGACCATGTCCTTGGCGACCTCTTCCCAACTGTTTATGTGAAGTGTAAAATGTGACCACAGGGTCGTGTCACTTGTTGACAGCTGTTAAGTATACCTGATGTTTTTTATCTGTGTTTTCGCAGAGACTCCAGTGGGTCCGTCCGCCCGTTAAGAAACTGAACAGAGTGAGATGGAAGCCGAGCTGGACTGACCTTGCTGTCACAGCCCCTGTGTGTCTCCTCCTTTCTAAACACCAGCCCATGTTAAAGATGCGCGTGGACACTGATGCCATGATTTGCCTTTTACTATGCTTTGATTTAGTTTAACCTCAGTCTTGTTGACATGTAGCTCAGTTCCGTTTTTAGATATCAGTACTATTGCATTGATTTGCTTTACCCTACCTAATCTAATAGTAGTTTAATGAATATTAGGAAGCAGGATCAATAACTGAAAATGTGAATGTTACTGGTTGCTACTCGAATAAGGCCACCCTGGTCTCCTCGGGGCCGTATGGGTGCTGCTGTCTACTGTCTGGGGCCCCTCGATTCTTACTCTGCCCTCACATCTCCTCTCACAACTGTCCCCAGGTCTTACACCTTCCACTTCAGCGTTGTGCTTTGAGGACAGTCACTGAATTTAGGAAAAGAGAGGGGCTCGGCGGACTGGGTCGCTGCACTGGGGCGGGTGTCAGCGGCGCGAGTGGCCTGTCTGCGTCAGGGTGCGTTTCTGCTTTTCCCCTCAGCTTTCCCCTTGGTTCATTTCCATCCTCTGCTCAGCTCTCTCTGGCACGTGGCCGCTGGCCTCGGTGCGTTCCCCTCTCCAGCTTGGCCTCACTCTGGAAGAGTCTGATGCTGTCCTCGGCCATCTGCCCCTCTCTAGATGGTCAGCGGTGCCATGGGAGACCAGGGGCCTGATGCCGCAGTGAGGCTCACGCTGCCCTGTCCACCCCGCGAGACCCTTCTCGCCCAAGTCTAGCTGGCGGCGGTGTCACCTGATGCGTGAGTCCGGGGAGCGCTGCTGGCCACGGCCAGTGGGAGAGTAAGGACCCAGCTGAGGAGACCAGCTAAGAACTGGGGAAGAAGCAGCTGGCAGGGTGCTTCAGGCTTGGCCTCGGGGCATGTGATGGGGAGCAGGGCGCCCTCCATCACGCTGCCTTAGAAGTCATGGGAAGACCTGTCATGTGCTCTCCGGTCAAAATCGTCACTAAAACAAAACTCGATTCTCTGTTCTTAGAATTAATGTGTAGTTACAATGTTTGTTAAATATAATGTAACATAAACTACTTTCAGGATACTCAGTTTTATTTTTTAAGGTCAAGCTCTAGTCAACCTTCTCAGCCTTTCCTTCCTCGCCAACCACAGCACGTGTCCTAGGCCCCAGAATGGACTAAGCGGCTGGGGCAGAGTGTGGGGGCCACCACAGGGCAGGAGGGGCCCAGCCACCTGGCACAGGCCGTCGGGAGGGCCAGTAAGGAGGACGGAAGCACCTCAGGGAGCATGGTGGTTCTGTCGGTGTTGCTAAGAAGACAGAACTGACCATTGCACTTGGCAGAACGGGCGTCACCAAGAGGGCGGGAGGACCCTGGGACGGCTGGGACACTGCTCTGTGAGTTCTGGAGAAGGGAGGGGAGAGATGGTGCAGGGCAGAGGCGCTAGGAACCAGCCTGGGGTTGCCCCGTGGACATCACAGGCATCACCATCTGCCACCTACTGTCTGCGAACGTGGGCGCTTGTTTTGTGATGGACCCTCAAGTTCAGCCTGGCCTCACCACTCCCCTCCTGTGACCCGCATTTCTGTTCCTGGGAACTAAGGGGCCGCCGGCCACTTGAGCTTCAGACTTGAGGGTCTTTCAGGTGCGTCTCTCTGGCGGTGGAAGGAAGCTCAGCATGCTCAGGACGCCACAGGCCCTGTGCACTTTGACCCTCAGTCCCTTCCCTCTGTCACCTTCTTGACTGACTGAGGCCCCACAGGGCTGTGCTCTGCCCCAGGCTCAGCATGCTCAGGACGCCACAGGCCCTGTGCACGTTGACCCTCGGTCCCTTCCCTCTGTCACCTCGACTGCCTGAGGCCCCACAGGGCTGTGCTCTGCCCCAACACTTGCCACCCACTCCCCAGGGCCACTGTTCCTCAACCCTAGCTGCACATACGTGGCACGCGTCTGCCCGCCACGCCTGCGCTTTAAAGGAAGACAGTGTCCTGCTGTTGCTGGCGCTCAGCCAAGGGTCCCAGACCCGTCCGCACTGCCAGGTAGCACATTGGTGACCCTCGGGACTGGGCGCGCCCGTCTTCTGGGGGTAGAGCCATGCAGGGAGCCACCCACTGCCATCCCTTCCGCGGAGGGAGAGGCCCACACAGCCGTGGTCCCGCAGGCCCAGGCCAGGTGGTTCGAACGCCCCTCGGTCGCCGACGCAGGACCAACCATGCTGACGCCACTGCTGCTTTCTCGTTGCAGGTACACCTCGGGGACTCGGCAGAGCAGCCATGGTGACGTCTGCCTGTGGAAGGTCCTCCTTCAACGTGTCGGAATGTGACACCGGTGCAACCCAGTGACGCAGGGCCTGGGGACCAGGTCAGTCCGTATTTGAACCTCCGAAGAGTCTTGGCTTGCCTGCAGCAGGCCCGGATGAATGCCATCTTATGGAAGACGGTCCCACTCCGCAGTCTAGGAGATGCCGTTGCCAAGCACGGTGCCTGCCAGGCTGTCGTGAAGCACCCAAGTGTGCGTCCCCTTCTTGCCTGTTCCCCCACGGGCATGGGCCCCGGAGTGAGGGCTGGCACGCTGTTGGTGCGCGGGCCCCCAGCCAGCAAAGTGGTGACAGGGGCACTTGCTGAGGCCTCCATGGTTCTTAGATTAACTCTGAAGTAGGTGCGGTTTTTCAGACGCAGGCGTGGTGGCTTTAACTGGCGGCCTTTCACCCCCACGTCCCACTGCCCACCCCGAATCCCCTGCCCTCCAACCTCGTGGGATGCGCCACCCTCATGGCCGGAGCCAGTGGTTGCTGTGGGCCCACAGTCCCATCATAGCGTGTAAGGTTCAAGTTCAAACTTGATGTCCCGACGCCCTGTTGGGGACTTGGCAAGCAAGGAGAGCCGAATGGTGTTAGGCCTGGCATGCGCTGCGACCCGCCCCGCGGAGGGAAAGGACAGTGAGACCTCGTGAGCGTGTGCAGGGCCCGGCCTTGGGGCACACAGATGGGCGTGTGGCGTGCTTCACACCCGGGGAAGCAGCGCGGTCACCTAGAGCCAGGGAGGTGAGGCTGGCCCTTCGCCCTGGCGTCCCTGTGTTGGCCTGGGAACTGAGGATGCAGCGCCGTGTCCCGGGCTCGTGGGAGGGTGGCCTGGAGTCGCGGCCCTCACTGCAGCTGGCGACGCTGCATGGAATCTGCGCCAGCGCCTCCCGCGTCGTCCTGGCCCCGCATCCCCAGCAGGCGGGGGCTCTCTCCCTGCACACCAGGGGTGAACCCTTTGCGAACTGAGAACTCCATGGTGGGCCCGTGTGGGAGAGGCACCCGGCTGGCTCCAGGCTTGTCTGCCACCTGCCGCCAGACGTCGCAGCAGAGACAGCAGGCCCCCAGGTCACGAGATCCAAGGCTGCTTTCATGTGTACGAGACAGAACTGCAGCGTCACTCCGAAAGCCAGCACTAGTGCGTGTCCTTGCACTGAGGGATGCGCACGTTCGGTTTGCTGCCGCCCCGCTTACACCCTCAGGACCGTCGCGGCTCGGGGTCTGGCTCGGTTGGGCTTGAAGGCAGATGTGTCCCGTGCGTGCCGGGCACCTTCTGTGCCCTTCGCAGACTCTATCTCCACGGTCCCTTCACTTTGTACATCACAAAAGGTGGACACGAGGAGCCTGCAGAGGCTGCAGAGCTCCCGGGGCGGCCAGGACCTACCCTTGACCCAGCTGCGTGCGAGCACTGTGCGCTCTGCCACTCAGTCAGACACGGCTGGCCCCTCTCCGCCTGTTGTCACCCAGTCACCCGCAGTTATTACAGGAATTGCTTTAAACTGGCGCTCTTCTGAATAACGTGATGAAATCTCACGCAGTCCGGCTCCCTCCGCCCTGTCTGCAACACACTCTTGTCCAGCGCGACCGTGCTGTGTTCGCTTCCTGCCTGTCAGTCACTTAGTGGCCCTCCCGGCCATCACGCTATGGCAGTGCTCTGAGTGCTGAGTTCGCAGCACCCTTATTTTACTCAGTCTGTTCGTTTCCGGAGTCAACCTCGCCGTGCCTGATTTATCACTTAGGTCATCGCAGGTGTGCAGGCACGGGAGAGACGGTGCATGTCTGCCTGGTGCTCTCTGCTGTCCCCGGCACCCACGGGGGCCTTAGGACGTGTCCCTCCAGATGAGGGGGCTCCGTACTTAAACAGGCGCTGGCCCTCACCCCTGGCTCCTCCTCCCCCTCGGTCTTGATTCCTCTCATCCCTCCATTTTCAGGTCCTCCCAAGGCCCTAGCCTCCCGTCTCTAAAACGTAAAGCCCTCAGGTGACCGTTTCTCTTGTCACTGCACCATGACTCGGCTGGGCCAGTCTCTCCTCACAGGGCTCCTTCAAACTGCCTGTTGCCCGGCTCAGAAACACAGCCCCTTCCCTGCCCGCCCCCAAACTGCGCCCCTTCGTCCATGGTGCAGACCCCTTCCTGTGCTTAGTGGAGTCCCAACTTCCGGTTCTGCCCTTGGGGCTTAAACCCACCACACGGCACTACTCGGGTGAACCCCAACTCAGCCTTTGCCACGCTCCCAGTAACTTCCACACACAGGCTGATTGCACACATGTATTTAACAAGTTTTACACGGAATGCTAAGCGCACTTTCTTCGGACTTTACAGAGGGGCTTGAAGCGTGGACTCCTGTTCACACTCACACCACAGCAGAGCCAAACCTAGTGCCTAAGCAGATGCGCCGCCATTGTTCAGAGTTTAAAAGGCGCAATGGCAACGATGAGGGCAGGAGAAAGCACAGGATTACAGAACCGAACGAAAAATAAACTCGAGAAAAAGTCAATAAAATTTAATACGGCCTCATGCGCCCGGAAGGAGGCGGTGCCCGATTTGGAGGGGTGATGGCTATGTCCAAGTAGTCTCCTATCTGGAACTTCTGCGACTGCAGGGTCATGGCGTCGTCGGTCCCCTTCCTCCCAGACATGGTGCTGCCGATCTCCTTGACTCTGTGGGAGGAAAAGCAGCCGTCAGTGCAAATCGGCGAGGCCCCGTGCCCTGCCAGGGGGCACGGGACTGGGTACCCCGGCGTCTCCCAGCACGCTCGAGATTTAAGTTCTATGTCGAGTGCTGTGTCAAGCGATACCACTAGAGAGATTCACTAGCAGGCCTGCCCCTATCAGTCAAAACATCAAAACCAAAAAGATTATAGGAATTAAACTGGACGTTACCCACCGATAGCCAGGTCTTTTAATATCTGTAAAGACAATTGCAAAATTGAAGTGCGTGCCCTTCTTCCTGGCTTCTGGGTAGACTTCTTTCACTAGACTCGTCAGCTCTTTCAAGGTTGCATCCATCCTGAATTTTTTTAAAGACATTACATTTGATTAATCAGCAATAATATAACAAGGATATCAACGCGTTAATTTAATTACACGTGTTTGAATTGCAATTTATGTCAAAATGTCAAGGTGTTTTGCTTGAATTAATTTTAAAGCATCTAATAATACTATTTGTCCCCAAGTACTACTCCCCTTAACCAGCCTTAGTGTTTGAAATTCGATGAATTCATATCAGACCATTAGCGCTAAAAGGACTTCAGAAGTACATATGCTATGTTTTGTCGCTATGTAACATCTTACTGGCCTGGTTATTTACCCCTTTAAGGGTAACTAGTCCAAATTAATCCAAATATTTAAAATAATCGTATTTCATTATTTCTAAGACACATACTTTTCCACATTATAGTGTCTCTGAAATTGGAACGCATCTGCTTGAAGGTGGCCAGTGTTGTTCCCTTCTAACACGGAATCTCATATTTTCTTTCATGACAAGCAGAAAAATTGAAATAATGACCTGAACTTGGCATAGCACTGCCCATAGGGCGCTAGGAAAGGGCGCAGGGCCGCCAGGCCCTGAGGAACTACTCTAAAATGCAGTGTCAGGCAGGCAGTCACGGCCGAGGCCGTCTAGCTTTCCCTCTGCACCCCCCTGACAAACCTTATCACACCCAAGTCAAAGCATGGCTTCAACTGCACTGACAGCAAAAGCATCCAGGATTCTCGACTGCAGCCGAAAGGTTCCCACGTGCTGTCACAGAGTTCAGCAGTGTTCCCCCAAACGCACCCTTCCTCTCACGTCACCATCAAAAGTACCTTCAGCCTCTGAGCTGCCCGGGTCCGAAAGCTCAGTATTGCTCAGTCCTTCCCCTCTCCACCCTGCTGTTCCCATCTCGTAAACACAGATCAAGTCTGTTTTTCCTCCATCCCACCGTTACTGCTTTAATTCACCCTCTCATCATTTAACTCTTATGTTGCCTTTGACTCATCTGTTTTTTAAATGTCTTTTTTCATGAAAACATGCTGAGCAAGCAGCACCTGTTCCCAGCTCCGGGGAGACATCCCACTGCGTGGAGGACAGCAAGGAGCTGCACAGCGCCTACCACGGAAGCAGCATCCCAGGATGTCACTCCACTGCATGGCTGCAGGTGTTGGAGTTGCCAAGACAGACTCGCAGAGATGGGACAGAACAAGATCCGCTCCGATGGTGAGCGTGGGTCCCCACTGCCAGCAGGTGTCCCCCTGCAGCCGGTGCACAGACGGCCCGCACGCATCCCTCATCCTCTGTGCTGCAGGCGGAAGACCCCACGCCCTCACTGGGAAGGGATACAGCAGTGGGGCTGGTTGGGTGTCATGTGCTGCTGGCAGAGCAAGAACACCCATCAAGTCCAGAAGGCGAGAGGCTCCCCAAGAGCTGTGCTCTGCACAGGCTGTGAGAGCGCTTTCTCTGCCGAGTGTTTCAGGCCCAAGGCCACTCCCTGCGGCCCTGCGACCGGTGAGCAGCTGTGCAAGACTGCCTTGCCAACCTGAGACACACGTTCACTATTTAAAGAGGTTAAGCCACACGCGGGGATGCAACAGATCACACCCCAAACCTCACCAGCCAGAAACAACCCGTGATGTCAACATCACTTCAGGCTTTTCATGCATATACACCATGCTACAGAAAAGAGATTCCTTAATATCTCACGCATGTTACATATGCTGAGACTAATACGAAAATGAGTCGTTTCAAACACTAAGCAGAGTTAAGAAAACTAAGTTTAACTTAAATAGAAGAAAAACAAGTCAAATTGAAGGGACTGTAAAATTTCAGATAAAGATGATGTTGCCCTTCCTCACCGTCCTTCTGCAGTCTATTTTTGCTGTTAGAGTTCACACTGCATCTGCAGCAACTGCCCTGGTTACTTCAGCTTTGTCCCCAGTGGTCCAGCTACTCCCTAGTACGCAGTGTGCACTAACAACGTGTCCCAGAAAGCATCCTTTCTGCCTTTACGGAAATGTTTTCCATATTGTCGCCCTGCTGATAATGAGCTTGCAGAGCCCGGTTCCCACCTGCACCAGCTGACAGTGTGGGTCCCCCACGGCCTGCCTCCCACTCCAGCAGCTGGAGGGTCGAGGGCTGCTTTCTGACCACGGACTGAGACCCAAGGACACAGGTGAGGGATGCCAGAGCCCCTTGGGGCTGCAGCCTTTGCTGGGTGACTGAGGGTCAGCTTTCTGTCAGTCTGGTGATGCTGCAGCCCCCATTCAATACACCAGTGGTGTTGTGTGAGGTAGACTGTCCCCGACACACACCTTCACTGGTCAACAGCCCATACTCTGCGTATGCTGTTAAACGCACTTTCAACTTATGACATTTTCAACTTGCCAGGGTTTATGGGGACATAAACAGCCCCAGGGTAAGGCAAGGAGCTGCATGTCTTGGATGGGAGTAGTCTACCCTCAGTGGACTGAGTCTCTCCTGTGATGGGAGGAGTAGGCTCACCTCCAGGGCTGGCAGGGCTTCCTAAGGCTGGGACCCCAGCTCTAGCTCCAGCCTGCAGAGCCCTGCCTGCAGAGCAGGGGTTCAGGGGCCCAGGCAGCCCCCACACTTGTTAAGCCAATGCTCTGCAGCAGACCCGCTAATATTCAGCTGCTACTGGTCCCGTTTTTCTGGTGAACGCTGGTACGGCGGTCTGTGGAATCCTCTCTCAAGAACCTGTCTCGTGACCACCACGCAATTTTTCAAAAACTACGTACCTTTTACGGCTACTAAAAAGCCATTATGCCGCCAAACCAGGGTGTACGCACAGCGCGCCGGCGCGGGGGAGGGAAGGTGCAGGCGAGAAGCGCACGGTCAGGCGCTGGACACAGTCAAAGCTTTCCCACGCCAAGCCAGATCAGAAATCCTCGGCTTTTGGGATTTTTTTGATGCCGGGGCACCAGAGGCTCCCAGTCACGGGGAAACGCGGTGAGGATACCAACACCCCTTGACAGCACCGCCCCGTTACCCCAGTACCGTTTATTGGACCAGGGGCCTCTCAGGGACGGCCACCGCACATCAAGGGCCCATGGATCGCGCCTGCACCGGGCAGCCGCGACCCCTCGCCACCTGAGCGCCGGGGC